GTTTTCACTTTCGGCGAATAATAAGAAACGACTAAAAATCGAGACTTTGCGATGATAGAATCGAGTAAAAAGAAATTATAAGAAATAGACATACGTAGAGTGAATGAAAAGAAACGAGAGAATCGAGAATGGTCTAATTAAGAGACGTAAATTTATTAAGCTTCAGGTTTAAAATAGCGGACGACACACTGCCGAGGAATGTAAGGGCAGACCGTTTTTATTAAAGGGCAGGCGAGCCCTAAGATTAACTCAAACGAACTTTTCTACTCGGACCTTCGACGTCGTTCGAGAACAAGAATTAAGTTTTAGTTGCGTTCGCACGCGATCTTTCTACGGGGAGAAAAAAAATTTTTTTAAAACGACAGAGATACATATTTTTCAGACGTTAGAAAATTTTTCGATCGATAAAACTATTTACATATTACTGTCGGTCAGACAAAAATTTATAAAAATTGTACCTTCTAAAGGATATTCCTTCCCTTCGTCTTTCGTCTTTTTCTTTATCTTTATCTCATTTTTCCCTCCTCTCTTACGCGCATTAGTTGAGGAAAAATTGGAACGAGACGATCGATCGGTCTTACCACGTTCTTCGTCTCGTAAAACGTAGGTGTAGTGGCAAGAAAAGAGGCGAAGCTCGAGAACGATCGATTACCGGTCGTGTCTGAATTTAGGTTAACTGAAGGACCACGAGAAAGGCCGCCAAAGAGAAAGAGAGAGAAAGAGAGAGAGAGAGAGAGAGAGAGAGAGAGAGAGAGAGAGAGAGAGAGAGAGAGAGAGAGAGAGAGAGAGAGAGAGAGAGAGAGAGATGTGCGAGAAAAACCTCGCGATAAAAACAGCGTGGCCCAAGAAAAAGAGAAAAGAGAGAGAGAGAGAGAGAGAGAGAGAGAGAGAGAGAGAAAGCCAAATAGATATTCTCGCGAATCTTCTCTATTATTCAGGTGAACGTACTCGTTTCTTCATAAAAGATCGACATTTTTGAAGAAGGAGGTCGGAGATCATCACTGAAAGGTCATCGATCGCACATATATTCCTCGAATAG